ACATTTGTTGTAATGGTTATTTTTAGTTATCTATTGTTCTAATTTGTTATATTTTATAATCGAAAGATTGCGTAACATATCCCGTAACACAAAACCGAGGCTGGTGCGGACACTGAACTCCTAAAAGCTTTTCAATCTGGCGTGGCGTGGCTATGGCGTTGAATTCTGAGCAATAGTAAAGAGAAATATTTCCAAAATCGAGGCATTTGTGATGTGCTATCCATCTTGTGGACCTCTCGCTGAAAAAACTTGTCCGTCCTTACGGACAACTTGGCTAGGCTGTCTGCAAAGTGTTACTAGTGCAGACCTGGCTACTTTGGACACATTGCTTGCAGACATCCTGACAACATTGAAAATCTGATAGTAGTAGCTTGTGTTGATAGCAACAGACCCAGTTGTTGATCAGAACTGATAGTGCCACTTACCGACGTGCTAATAACGACATATGGAGAAGTAGTATGCCTTCAAACTAGACTCGACATTTAAAAATAATAATACGGAATCAAAAGAAGAATTTGGTAAACAAGACTTAAAATGTGTTGCATACTCGTAGTCTTTTTCGTACTTTGAAAAAACTGCAATAATAATTGTTATTTTAAATTGTGTTCAATCGCTGATTATCTTTTTTAAGCTATTGCAATCGCGGACTTTGAGCGCGGCGACCGAATCAAGAAATTCCGTAATGAAAATAAAACCTAACACCTCCGCCTACCATGAAGCTCGCGTTCAACGCATTCACACGTTGCGCTTGTGTAGTCTTTGTGAATAAGCGCGCGGCGTGACGTCGCACTGCATGCGCATCATGAAAACTCTGCCTATCTCTCTCTCTCGCGCGGTCTAGCTTATGAGTGTGAAGGAGACAGTTAATGTTTTGTTTTGTTAATGTTTATACATATAGCATGGTCTTATTTTATTATTGTTTTAATATTAAATTGTTATTGTCGAATTATAATTGCATAAGTTGATAAAAAATGCTATGGAATAGCTTTATCGCGGCAGTCCCCGAATGCCACACGTGTTTTTTTTCTTTTTTTCCCTACCTATGCTGATAGCTTTGAGAGGCTATTTTAGCTTCTCCTTGACGTGTAGGTGAGCTCACGGGGCTCAAACCGGGAGTGTTGCTAACACTGACCCTAGCAAGAGCAGTACTTCGCAGAATATACCACCGGATCGGAAACGCGACCCACTGAGAAGATCCGGCGAGAAACTCACTGGGCTGTGTCTGTGGGTTAATTTATTCGTCGAGCCCTTCGTGGCAAGCGACGGGTTCGACGAGGACGGTGACCGGTACACGCTGATTATAATCGTTTACTCTTTTTATTGTTTTTTAATTTTATTAAAACACATAGTTATATTACAATAATTTCGATCATCTCAACGTACGGTAGCGTGGCCGAGCGGTCTAAGGCGCTGGTTTAAGGCACCAGTCTCTTCGGAGGCGTGGGTTCGAATCCCACCGCTGCCAGTTTCTTTTTGTCATGTTTTTTATTCCTTTTTACTCATTTATCGAGTAATTCATTATAGATATACATTTTTTACTCACAGTTTATATTTGAAAATATTTTGTTTAATAAACCAATCAATAAACCAATCAATTATCATATTGAGATAATATGTACTAATAAAAAGTCCTTCACGCAAATGTTGAATGACTAACTTATCAAATAGACAAACAGTCCCCTTACAAGATTAATTTAACTGCAATACCGTTGGGCGTATCACAATTAGTCGGCGGCCTCTATTAGCGTTTCCCTAAATCATTCGACCATTAAGTCGAACGGATGATCACGAGATGCACGCGTACGGTACGGTACGAAGCTTTAATAGCTCATTACAAAACAGTACATATATGTCGAACAAGTGACCGAAAACGTAATCTGAAGATCGAAAAATAAAATAACTGCTGAATAATCACATTCGCTTGCACATGCTTTTACTATTACCAATTATTTTAACTATGTTTTAGATAAAAATAAATATGTTTAAATTTGATAACGTGAACATTATTCAATTCAACTTAATGATGTTTGTTGTTGACGATCATCATTTATAATGGTCAAAATACAAATGAGTGTAAATTTAGTAGTGCTTTTAGGCCATAGTACTAAATGCAAACGAGTTATACATATTTATGTGTTGCTAATTTTAGCGATTGTTTTTATTTATTTATTCTGTAGCCAAACGACAGGAGAACTTAAATCATAAAGTATTTTAGTTGTCATTATAACCTCATATATAGCAATACCTAGTCAGGTCATAAATTCTGTCACATGTTTAATGTAAAATAATTGAAACAAGTTTATTCATTATGTAACCATTCATATACCAAAATGAACTTAACAAAACATAGATTCTTATGACACTAAAGTTTATTCAAAATGACCTCCGTGATTTTGAATACAGGCCTTCAATCTGCGCGGCCAGTCGTCTATCGCAGCACGAACGAGGTCCATGTCAATATCGGCGGCTGCCTTAATCAAGGATGTCTTGAGTGACTCCAAATTGGGATGAGGCTTTGAGCACGCCTTTTCCTCCAAGTGTTGCCATATCTTGTAATCTAACGGATTCAAATCTGGACTGGAGGAGGGCCAGTCTTCGTGCCGGATGAAGTCGATTTCACGCGCCGCCAGCCAGTCTTGTGTGCTCTTCGCTCTATGAGCTGGCGCCGAATCTTGTTGGAATACCCAGTGCCTGTTATTGAACATGGTATGAGAAACAGGTTCCACAAGGTTCGTCAGGACTGTATTTTGATACACAACTGCATTCGTTTTTACACCTTTCTCACAAAAATGTACCTCTGTTAAGCCCCAATAAGAAACTCCCAACCATACCATGAGCGAGGATGGAAAATGACCTCGTTGGACACGCGGAATACGGTTGCTCGCTTCTTCACTACTGTGTGCGTACACCTTATCATTTTGTTTGTTGTAGCTCTCTTCTACGGTAAAAATTTTTTCATCCGAAAAAAGAATTTCCCGATATTTTTTTCCCGCGTACCGCTTCAACAAAGCGCGGCATCTCTTCAGTCTCAGGTCCATTAGACGAGCATTCAAACGATGTCCTGTTTTTCTTCGATATGCCCGAAGCCCTAAGTCTTCATTTAACACCCTTTTCACCGTGGTTCTGCTTAACCCCATCTGAAGGGCCAACAGTTTCTGCTTACGTTTGGGATTTCTTTGAATTCGCGCCTTCACAGCTTTTATCACTGCTGGAGTCCTAACAGACCGAGGGCGACCACTTCTTGACCTGTCATCTACACTAGAGTCTTCATTGTATCGTTTGATGGTACGATAAACGAATCTTTTGGTTATATTCAAATTTTTCAGTATGTTAAAAATTTGAATTGGCGCGTAACCGCAACGATGCAACGCAATAACTGCAACACGGTCTTCTTTAAGCGTCCACTCCATATTTAAAAATGAGTAAAATTCTAAAAGTATACATTTTTATTTTTCATGAACAATTCGAAATTCGAATTCAATAAACTTTTTTGTGGCCAGCATTCTAAAAGAAAAGTTTTTACTGTGTGACAATACTTATGACCTGACTAGTTATATACCTTATATAAGCTCTTATATATAATTTATAGCTTGTGAAACTGCCTAACAGGACTGATTTCTATGATGAAGTGGATCGTCCCTGAAAAGCTACCCAAAGGTCTACAAAACCATCAAACGTAATCTCAGCGGCTCATTTATACTCCTGCTCTCAAAGCCCCTACTCGGCTTCTAGCGATATTAGTTTGTAATTTACATACATACCAATTGTAACATAAGGTTTGGGTTCTGTTATTTAATAATATCCTATAAATATGTAATCCCGTACAAGAAAATAAATTACTCTCGCGGCATCAATCTTATCTGAGTAATGATCATTAATATTGTCATTTAGTCTATCATGGCTAACTAGATTTAGCTATTTAGATTGCAAAAAGGCTAGATTATGCTCCACCTAATGGGCGCTGTCAAACTTCAACAATCTCAAAGGTATACCTATCGTTGATATCGTAAAACTATTAATTCATCATTATGCCAGAAGACATTGGTTGTGTCATGAGTTAGAAGATCGCCACGACAGGTTGCGTAAGCTAATGTCACTTTTATCAAAGCTTACGAAATATACAATAGATGATAAAATAATAACATCTAACCTTGCCTTTAAATAAAATCTAAAATTTTGCGTAATTTGGTTACATAAATTACACTTTCATGATGTAAGAAAGATGGTTCTTGTTCAAATTCAAATTCAAAATCATTTATTTCAACTTGGATGTCAGCATAACACACTTGTTGAATGTCAAAATATAAATGAAAATGTTAACTCTACTACCGGTTCCAAAAAAAACCACAGTCCTGAGAAGAACCGGCGAAATAAACTCAGCGGGCTTTTTTTTTGTTTTTTCTCAATTTTTTTCTTTTTTTTTTAATAAGTAAAAATATTTACAGTAAACGAAAAAACAAGTCAAAAAATACAATTAAAAAATAATAATAATGAAAAATGGAAATGAAAATGAAAAGGCCAGGAGCGAACGCCTCATTCCCACGTAGTGCCATCTAGTAGGCAGCGGCTTGGCTCTGCCCCTGGCATTGCTGAAGTCCATGGGCGACGGTAACCACTCGCCATCAGGTGGGCCGTATGCTCGTCTGCCTACAAGGGCAATAAAAAAAAAAAAAATTGTAAATAATCCTTAACTTTATATTAAGCCTTGTTGTTCTTAGCGACATCGTTGAATTTAAATCTACTCAAAATTTCAACGGTCGCCTGTCTAAATAACTGCAGTTGTTGATAAAAACTGTTAATTTTTATCATGAATCGTTGCGTAAAAACTTTATCTACTTTTGTGAGATTTTGGAATCGGCCTACTAATAAATTATCTACGTTGATGACGATTGCCTTTACAGTAACGAATGATAGCAATGCTACACGCTAGGTGCATTACCACATGTCCGCAGATGAGATTCACAGGTGCTGCCTTTATCCATTCGCCATTTATTCGACACGCGCGGTACCGGCGAGTCACCTCGCGAGCGCACTCCCCGGGAACACGTGCGACCCGCGAACCATCGTACAGAAATGTCGAGCGCCTAACGTAATAAGGACCTTGATTTTGAATTCCATTTTTAAAATGTGTCATGACAAAGTGGACTAGATTTGTGTGAACTTTAATTTTTTTTTTATTTTATTAATTCAAGATAATATGTATCGTTGGGGCATTTGAAAGTTTCGCACGCTGCGCTGCTTCTTATTCGGTAAGAATACATAATATAAACTTTAAATTGTATGACTAAAGGTGCATGTATGTTTAATGCATCAAAAAAGTGTTTTGATGATTTTCTTTTATCTGGTATTTTTTTAATGATAAAACTGATACGCAATATATTTGAAAATCCGTTAATTAACGACTATAACATTAAGATAGCATTATAACTTTTATCGACATTCCTTATTATTTATATTATATTCCTTATATTTATATTCCTTATTATTTATAACCGTATTATTAATTTCTTAAAGACTTGCAGGTGAAGAATAAAACGGACCGTTCTATAGTAGAGTTTAAATTTAAATTATTTTATTTTTATATTTTACTAGCTGACCCGGCAGACTAGGTAGTGCCTCAATCGATAAATAAAAAACGTAAACTTTTGTATAAAATAATCTTAAAACAAACAAAACAAATCCGTCCGACGGGGGATGTCAAAAGAAAAACAAAATTATTTTTATTTAATTCCGAGCATTTTCTTATTTATTTACCTTGTAAAGCTTTTCTGGACTTCCACAAATAATTCAAGACCAAAATTAGCCAAATCGGTCCAGCCGTTCTCGAGTTTTAGCGAGACTAACGAAAAGCAATTCATTTTTATATAGGTATATAGATTAGTAAGTATGAAATTTTATCTGTGTTATTCAAATACTAGATCCTAGACGTAAAACAAAGCTGAGATATTTGCATACATTATTTAAAAACTAGTGGTCCCGCAGTAGTCGAAATTCGACTATAATTAATTGAAATTCGCCAAGACTACACTCTAAAAAATATTAACATAAACAAACAATATTTAATTTAATCTCAATTTGACAACAGACGTCAAGAACAAAAGTTTGACAATAAATAGTATGCATGCGTGTGTGCGTCAAATATATGGTATGTAGTGTGTGTAATGTTTTCTTTATTGATTTAACGTATCTTTTATGCATTATTTAAAAATATATTAGCATTGTGCACTTCTTCTCTATATTCTCTATAAGTGTGGAAAATTTCATACTCCTCCGTCCGCGCAATTTTCGTAAAAAGGGATACAAAGTTTTTGCTTCACGTATTAATATATATAGATAGAATTATTTATTAGTGAAACTTTAAACCTACATGGTAAATATATTCTCAAAAAAAAAAATCTGTTGTACCTAGTACAAAAACAAATTTGAGCCAGACTTATAAACTGGTAGCATTTAATTTTAGTAAATTATAAGTTTTCAAGAGTTTTAGACCGCTTCAAATATGTATATGTAGTTAATTAATCTTGTAATTATTTTATCCCTTGCCTTACTCTAGTGTTTCGACACCAGTTTGTTCACGAATGAAGTGATTGTGTTGTCAAAGATCTATTTATAACGTATTTCAAATTCCGATTGTATTATCCGTATTATAAGTAAGAGATTAACATAATTTAAAAAACATTAAATTCGACAATAATAAAGTATTTGAAATATCGAAATTTTTCAAACGATTATCTATATAAATCCGGAGATTAAACAGTAAAACTGTGTGTATAATGTTTTTTTCTTTGGTATTTTAAATAATAAATAATAATAAATATTTACTAACAATCACGCCACGTTAACTGGTCCCGTGATAAGTTCGTAAATAACTTGTGTTACAGGTAGATAACGGAAATAAATATAAGATTTTTATTATACACATACATATATTTAATAGACATCCATAGCCCCGGAAAATACATTTATATTTATCATACAAATATCTTTCCTTGGCGGGATTCGAACCCGCGACCCCCTTGTGTAGTGACCATGTCACTTACCACTACACCAGACGGTCGTTATGTAGTAAATGTAAATGTTTAATTCAGGGAAATGCATCGATCATGTTTTTTGAAACGTTATTATTGGTTTCACATGTGTATGTAACGAGATTATTTAACATGATTTTCACCAATTTCAAAACACCCAATTGACTTCGCAATTTGCACTCCAAAGAATCGATGACAATAATTCTCCTATTTTGGCCTAATGCCCTGATAGGTATCTGAAAGATAAAAGTAATGATAATCTTACTTCGATTGGCAATTAGAGCGTGCTTTCTAACTCATTCAAGTACAATGTTTTTTATTATTGTTGCTACGATGGCCAGGTCAACTGAAGGTCAAAGTGGCGTCAAATTGTCATCGGAATCCGTAGATATCAAACCCAAAATTCACCACGAGCACGCCGAGATAAGATCAAGGGATTCAATGGTGTTTTAACAGCGACTTTCGTATCCAAATAAAAAAAAACCACTATATTTCATCGCTTAGATATGTGACCGGGTTCAGGGCCTATCCAGTGGTGGCTGTCGGTGCCTATGGACCTAATTTCCACCGTTTTCATTTTGATTATATTTAAAAACGTTATTGGGAAATTTCCAAAACACAATTAGGTAGGCGTATATTAAAAAAAAGGATTTGAACTCTGGATGTATCAGTTGATTTGTGTTAAGAACATATCCATGGGCTACGGTCGTATTCGGCTTCTATCAGAAGATGCAAATAAGATCTGGTGGTAGGACCTCTTGTGAGTCCGCGCCGGTAGGTACCACCACCCTGCCTATTTCTGCCGTAAAGGAGTAATGCGTTTCGGTTTGAAGGGTGGAGCAGCCGTTGTAACTATACTTGAGACCTTAGAACTTATATCTCAAGGTGGGTGGCGCATTTACGTTGTAGATGTCTATGGGCTCCAGTAACCACTTAACATCAGGTGGGCTGCGAGGTCGTCCACCCATCTAAGCAATAAATAAAAATAAAAAGATCGCCGCGTCTACTACAACTCTATCTTCCGTCCTTGAAACCAATACTTATTCACATCTTATTAACTGACTTTACTCTCCCTCTAATTTTTATTATGACATGCCTATACTGGTTAATGTCAGTGTTCTAGCATCTAAGTATAAATGTCTGTTTACCATCAAATACTATGACCTAACCCCCAAAAAAAAGTTAAGTATATTGACGTGAATGAGCCGTTATGTCTTTTTCCGCTGGGAAGCAAGCAGTATTATCTCTAGGTTGAAAGATGCAACTGCGGTTTTAGTGTATAATTGAGACTTCGAACTTGTATCCTAAAGTAAGTGTCGGGGAGCATTCTACTTAAGTCTTAAGGTCACGTTACACCAAGAAAGGGGGGGTACATATCGAGGGGTGAAAAGCTGTTTGGTTTAAGCGAGGTTTTTGCAACTTTACAGGAGAGCTCCGTTTAAAATTTAAAATTTGGAAAAGATATCATAACAAAAAACCTTATTCAGCCATTTGAATGGAGTAAACTTAATTGAAGTTCGATTGAAAACAACGAACTGTTGATGCTAAATACCAAATAAAATGCACATTTAATAACAAAGAGAAATGTCGCGTGTTAAGCGAGATGTCGCTTAAACCATATAGCATTTCACCCCTCGATATGTTTATTTTACATCCGTCCGTAAACCACTTGAAACGTTTGCTGTCTTTTTATTTAATCTATATACATATTAATACGTGAAGCAAAAACATTGTATCCCTTTTTACGACAATTGCGCGGACGGAGGAGTATGAAATTTTCCACACTTATAGAGAATATAGAGAAAAAGTGCACAATGCTAATATTTTTTTAAAATAATGCATAAAAGATATATTAAATCAATAAAGAAAACATTACACACACTACATACCATGTATTTGACGCACACACGCATGCATACTATTTATTGTCATACTTTTGTCCTTGACGTCTGTTGTCAAATTGAGAATAGAATATGGTTTGTCTTTGTTAATATTTTTTATGGTGTAGTCTTGGCGAAATTTGTGATTATAGAAGTATAAAATACAATCATAATAGTGTTCAAACTTACAATCCCAATTAATTATAGTCGAATTTCGACTACTGCGGGACCTCTAGTTTATTTAATTAGTTGTCCCAACAAAGCGATTATCAATTCAGAGCATCGAAGAATTGACAAGAAGAGTACAGGATCAATGTCACCTCAATTATAAGTACTAATAACAGTGTAATAGTTGACATCTAGAAATTATCTACAACTGCAATATTTGAAGAATAAACGATAACTAAATCAGATATGAATATCGGAGCGTTCTTCTGATGATATTGTTCCGGTTAGTTCCCACAGCGCGCAACAAAAAGAGAGCTATTATAATTAAAAGCATAACTGACATGCCTGTTCAATGCTTAACGCTGTTCCGTACATAAAGTGTTTTAATGTAGTATCAACTCACTCAAGCTTATTGCTGCTCATATTACATTTTTTACTGGTGGTAGGACGTCTTGTGAGTCCGCTCGGGTAGGTACAAACCACCACCCTGCCTATTTCTGTCGTGAAGCAGAGATGCGTTTCGGTTCATAGCCGTTGTATTGTAAAACTGTGACTTCAAGTCATATCTTAAGATGGGTGGCGGCATTTACTTTGTAGATGTCTATGGGCTCCGGTAACCACATAACACCCGGTGGGCCGTGAGTTCATTTCTACCCGCATAAGCAATGAATAAAAAACATAAATTCATACGCCTTGTCTTGTGTTTGATTTCGTTACAAGATCCAAAGCGATTTAACCAGAGTCTTTTCAGTGAGAGATCTTCATAAAGTGGCCATGGATCCTAGGCGACGCGAACCAGTCAAATCAAATCAAAAAAAAATTATTCAACATAAATGAAAGTACATACTTGTTGAACGTCAAAAGAACTACCGCCAACTCACAAGAACTAGCCTCCGTCCTTAGAAGAACGTGTACTTTTTATCCGGGTATGTGATCAGCAAATACCCGGATAAAAATTAGCTGAAGGAATGCAAAATCGAACGTGTGCTAATTGTAATTTTGGAACCTCGACCTTTCGTTTATCACTTGTGAACCAAGAAGCGACAGTCACTTTAGTCCTCTCACCGAAACCGCAAAAATTATACGCGCTGACCTCATTTTGTACGATTGCTTCATATCGTCCACTCAGAACGTGGACAAATTCCTAATACATAATTAATATTAATGATAATC